CCCCCCCGGCCCCCCCGGCCCCGCCGCCGCACCTTGCGGGGCCGCCGGAGCGGAGCGGAGCGGGGCGGCGGCCGGACGGCGCTGGCGACAACAAACATGGAGGAGCCGGGGCACCGGCGGCGGCGCGGGGGCTGCCCGCCCCACCACAGGCTAAAGCCACCCCCGGGGGGACACACGCACTCGCCCCCGGGGGGGGACACATGCACCAACCCCGGGGGGGGGAACACACGCACCAGGCCCCGTGCCCCGACCCTCCCCACGCAGCCCCCGCCGAGGGCACCCCGATGGAAGAGGGGGGAGAAGGGGAGAACCAGCCAGAAAGCCAAGTTTGGGGTTCGGTGATGGGTTTGGGGTTCGGTGATGGGTTTGGGCCATGGATTTGCCCCATTTTGGGGTGCGACACCCCTGTCAAGCTCGTTGTACCCGGGTGAAACACCCGACCCCACATCAACCCCGCTCACGGGACCCTCGGCGCGGGTCCCCGGGGATGGGTGATGGGGTCTGCCAGCACAGACCCGCAACGGCAGCCGGGGAGAGGGAGCAGAACAGGAACGCCGGCCGCGCTGCCAGCCCCACAACAACAGAAAAAGGCAGGGGTAGAGCGCGGGCTGCGAGATGCAGTCGGGTGGACTCGATGGTCCCAAGGGTCTGTTCCAACCTCAACGATTCTGTGATCCCATGCCCCACGCAGAGCATCCTCTACCGGGCTCGCTCGGTGCATGTGAAGACCCCTGTCATCTCCAGGGGACGGCACGGTAGCAGCCCCCCAACCCGCTCCCTCCCCGGCACGGCCCGTGGCACACCGCAGCGGCGCGGGGCCCGGCCTCGTCAGCTAAAACAACAAATACGGACGGTATTAGTACAAAGATACCCTTGGGGTAAAGCAGCGCAAATGTAATCTAAGGAGAATGTTATGGGGAAGTGTGTTTATAATTATAATGGGATTTAATGTACTTTGGGACCAGATGATAGCAGTCATTTAACGAGAACAGCCTAATAACGGAGGCCTCACAATGAAAGGCGGCGCTGCTCGGGTTATTAGACGCGTGCGATAACGCAGCGCTGGCGGTCGTATACTTAAGGGTAAGGCATCAGCTACCCCTATTTTTTCGGGGGTTATAACTCTGCCGTTGTAATCGGCGGAGAGCGAGAGCGCGGCGCGCAGGCAGCCAGCGAGCGTGCCTGCAGGATGGCTTTTTTTAATTGCCTAAAACTGCGCCTGTTCCTCCCCCTCCCCGACTTTTAAATCCCAATGACTGAAAGGAGGAGGGGGGGGGAAATAGCGAGACAGCGCGGTTTCAGGTGTTTGTTTACCCTCCTCTAACTTTTAAAAGGCTTGATTTCAGGACTGAAATTTTGCAGACGGTTAGGGGTATGTTTTTAGTGTAGCTCGCATGAAATTAAGCTGCGTGAGTCCCATTAGCAATAATGGAAATCCCACGGCTAAATTCCCAGGCAGCATCCTGAAAATTAACCCCCCAGTCCTCCCTGTCAACTGGTGCGTTGCACTTTTTGTTGCTCCTCTAATACATACAGTAAAAGCCACCCGGTTGTTTAAGAGCCCGCCTTCCCGCAGCTGCCTTTCCCGAAAGGCACCGACCGGCCTGTCCACCCCGAGCAGGGAACCCTCTGTACCCCAATCCCTCTGGGAAGAGCTCTGGTGGCTCCACAGCCCCCCACACACAGCAGAGGGTGTGAAAATGAAGGTTTATTTGCTTTTGGGGGTGACACGAGGTGGAAGAGCTGGTGAGAGGACTCTGGCCACACCATCTTCCCATGAGCCGCGTTTTGTCAGCCATGATCAAAGGGATCCCCCTTTGCCCGGGGCTTTCTCCCCTCGCCCACCCCTGGGCAGCACCAAAGTGAACTCTGGAAACCCCAGAGCTCCCCAAGGCACCGCGGGGGTCTTTCTGCCCAGACCTGAGCCCCGGTTCCTCCCAAACTCTTACAGTCCTCCAAACCCCCAGAGAGCTGGGAGGTCCCTTCCTGGCAAGGAGGCAAGCGATCATAACACGCATAAAATGGGAAAAAAGCTAAAAATCCAAGAGCATCAACTCCCTTTCCCCCAGCAAAGCCCCCCATGTGGCAAAGAAACACCATCTCTTGCGTGGGGTGCCTCAGCTCAGAGCAGGAAGGAAGGATCTGGACGCATCCGCAAGCCAAAGGAGAAGCAAAAGGAGCCACTTTTGCTCCTTTTGGAGGGCAAGAAAAACAATCTCCTGGGCTCCAGCATCACAGCCTGGTGGCTCTGGGCAGGAGGTCCCTGTCGGAGCAGGAGCAGCCCTGCGGGGTGGGGGGCAGTTAAGGGCTGCCCAGCCCCTGCAGCCCCCAGGTGGGGCCCGTGGAAGTGCCGAAACGGAGCTGGGGAAGCCACCGCCGTGGCCTTCGGGGTCGTTTCCCCATGCCCCGGCACGGGAGTTAATCACCCATCGCTCCCCCCAGTCCCTTCCATTTCCCTCCCATCTCTCCCCATCAGTTTCCAATTTATTTACTTTTCTGATCTTAATCCCCACCTTGTAGTGTAACGTGTTTATTAGAAAGGAACCAGCACGTTAAATGAAGCCAAGCTGGGCTCTCGTGTTAAATAGCAGTCACGCCCAAGTGCCTCTCCATGTGCCATTACTCCAAGTGATTGAGGCAATTTCTTCCTCCGCCACGAGTTTCAGTTGTAAATCTCTCAACCAGATACGGGGGCAATGATGTGCTGCCTGGTGCGATTATTATGAACCTCCAGCATTAAACTCGTGAGGCCTCCGTGGTTTCTCGGGAAGGCCTTCCCATGAAGGGGCACAGGCATCCTTCCCAGGAAACCTGGGGATCCCTTGGGATCCAGCTCCTACCCCCAGCCCTTCATTTATTTTGGGTGGGGAGACTCTCAAACACCCCCTTTCCCAACACAAATAGCCTGAGGAGCACCATCAGGCCCACAAAGCACGGACAAGGCCAGTAACGGCCTTTAAGTGCGGCCTTTAGGTGCTGCAAGGGACACGGCAGCTTCAGGCTGCTCCTCCAGGACCCAGCGAGACACAGGGAGAGGACAAGGAGGAGAAAACAAAGTCGTCTCCAAAATTACAATAAGAAAGGAAAGTCCTCGTCCAGGATGCTCAGCTCATAAAACAACCATCACCAGAGGAGACACAGCTTCAGCGAGGAAGTCCACCAGCATCATCTGTCCTGCAGAAAGGGCAGGGGGACTCCCCCCTCCTCTCCATCACCCCCAAAACCCTCACAGGGGTAGCTGCTCCAGTCCCTCTCCCCCAGGGAAAAGCCCTTTCCCACCACCCCGTACCCCTCCAGCAGCGTTAGACAGACCAAGCGTCCCCCACTTCCCACCCCAGGGAGGGCTGTGACCAAATGGCCCCCACTTCTCCAGCTGCCTGGGCCCCCAATTCGGTTGCCCCCAGCCCAGTTCTGTGCCCAGAGCTGGTCGGTGCAGACACAAGCTGCACAGGGTGAGGGGACAGGAACCTTCCTACATCACAGCTCATACACTTTTCTAGGAATGGGTTTAGTTTTGGTGTATTGGGAGGGTTTTCCAGTCCCGCTGGTGCGGAGCTGGGCTATGAAACAGCACAACAAGGATTTTGCGCCAAATAAGGTCTGTTTTAGCTTAAGTGAGAAAGGCCTGACTTTTGAAGAACTGGGTTTTGCTATCCCTCCAGAGTTGGGAGCATCCAGGCTCTGGCGTGCGCAGGCAGCAGCCCAGGAGGGCGTCAGGCGCCGTGGCTTTGCTCGCAGACGGGGTAGGGCTGCTCCACTTTCGCACGCGGCGAGCTGACAGCTTATGAAAAGATGATTAAATGAGCTAGACTTTATTTTAAAGATAAATAAATAAATAAAACCCCCTAACCGCACAAAGCTGCGAGTCAGGGGAGGGAGGAGGGCGGCGGGCCCCTGGAAGGCGGCTCAGCACACGGCCACGGCGCGTTAAACTCCCTGTGAAAGCCATTGATTATGAGGGGGACCCGTGCGAGCCCCGCAGATACCGGACCCCAGCGCATTGTGGTGGCCCGGGGGAGCCAGAACAGGCCCTTTATTGTGCCCCGCTGGCCGCACAAAGGGAACCTGAGAGTTGCTGGGAGGATGCAGCTGGTGTGGGGCTGGGGCGGCGGGATGCAGGCAGCACGGCCTGGTGCTCCGCTGCAGGTCACCCGCGCCGCGAGCGATGCCACGGGGAATTGTCACAGGAAAATGTCTGTACCCAAACCCAGGAGCCGCCCCGACGCCCTCCCTCTGCCCTGGGAAAGGTGGATGTGTAAAATCTCATAATTGGGACGGAGCTGGCTTGATGTGCCAGAGCATCACGGGGTGAGCACGCTGCTGGTCCCCCCTTCCTTGTTGCCAACCCACCGACCAGCCCTGCCTCGACGGGGAACAGGGTCTGGCCAGCACTCGAGCGTGCCAGGAAGGTATGGCAGTGGCTATGGGGAGAACTGTGTCACCCCTGCGCATCCCCACACACCTCTGCGTCCACAGGCAGCTCCCTGGCCTGAAAAATCCTCCCTGGCCTCTGGTTTGGTGGGGTTTGGATTTTTGTTTTTAAGCTTGGCTCCTTTAAGGGATATTGCA